TTCAAAAGCTTATCATGTCCCTACAACTGATTTTATGTCATTTGCAAAAATCCTTATTAATAGGCTTAAGATGATATGTCTCATCTGATAGATCTAATTGCAACAGCATTCATCAAGAATAGGATGGTTTCTAACATCATTCTTACTAAGGAGGTTATTAACGGCCTTAATGCACTAAATAAAAAAGGAAGCCTTTTTAAATGTAAAGCTTGACATTAAAAAAGTCCTTCATAACAAAAGTTTAATTCAAAAAGTTTATAAAAAAGACATTTGTCCACTATTATATCTCAAATCAAGACTTGTATATATAATATGCACTTCTCGATTATTTTTAATGAGTCTTGCTAGCTTTGTTGCTTTTCACTCAATCCCCACATTTGCTTTGCTTTTTTGCAGGACTAGCAATCTCCTCTTTACTAAAAATCTATAGGTTTATAATAAAAACTTATGAAACTCTTTGATGTGTGTATCACCTCTCACTTTCCTCTACTGCTAAAAGCCTCTCCCAGTGCTAGAACCTTTATAACATCTTTATGCAAGCACTCTTTTCTTAACAAATTGCTTTTCAAGACTATATATTATGTCACAATTAACCAGAAGGATGATGTCAGAGCTTAGGATAATATTGATAAAAAATTTATTCAAAATACTTGGAGATTCCTTATCCTCACATTTGCCTGATTTGCATTAAGTAAAATGGGTTTGGCATATAAGACACTTCTAAAAAGCGGGTCCAATATGACAATTAATCTAATAAGTAGAAACTATACCGTACCTCCAACCCTCCTTTTGTGTCACTATGAGAATTAAAATATTTCCCACATGTTTTTTTCATTATGCATTCTCACATAACTTAGTAAGGAAATGTTTGAATTTTAGTAACCTCCTATTAAATTCTACACCCAATAGCTGAAATGTAAAATCCAATCTGAATGTTCTTTATATTATGAATTTATTCTCATCAAATTTTCTTTGCTATATAACAATTGGAAGGATAAAATTGACCATGTACACAACGAGAATTTCAAAAAAGAGTTATCATATATGATGCACTAAAATTTACCCTTGAAGAGGTGTGCAGTGCCTGACAGGTGTCCGACACGACATGCGTCTGACACACCTCCAACATGTGTCGGACACGCTAAAAAAGTGTATGATTAAAAAAATATTATATGCAAATTGGATGCGTGTCATACATGCATGCCATAAACATTTAATGAATTTTTTTACTATATATTTGTATTTAAAATTTTTATTTATTTAAATTATTAAAAACTAAATTTCTTGTTTTTTCTTCATAACACCAAATCAATCGTTTGCACTCAATACCTCATTCATTAAAAATTTTCATTTTCATATCTCTTTCGCGGGTCGCAACTTTAGTTTCACAACAATGTCTGATATCATCTCAATATTAACATCTAATGTCGTTATAACATCGACATTTAAAAACCATCTCAACATCAAAATATAATCACTATCTTCACATTTATGCTTAACACTAGCAATTTCTACACCCACAACTTGACAGCTCATCTTTGTTCGACGTCATCTGAACATCATCGACCAACATCCTCTCAACATCAAAGACATATGTCCTCTTGACATTGACAAGCGATATTGCAAAACATCAATGCCTGACTATCGACAGTATTATTATCTCATCTCTCGATGACTGATATACAACATTGACGTCCGACTCTCGGCATCCTAATATTAATCAGTTTAAACAAATATTCTAACTAAATGACATTATTTTTAAATTATTTTAATATTATACTTATTCAATTTTTATATAAGATTTTTAAAATATAAAAATTATTGTGCCATATATTTTAATAAATAACATATCCCATGTCCGTGTCATTGTCTATGCATGTGCATCATACGTTATCATATACAAAATGAAGTTTCAAATCAAATATAATCTTATATCTTGGAGATAGGTTGACTTAGCTATAAGCATTCTTAAAATTTAAAAGAGAGACTCTTTTGGCTACTCCTATGCTTTGTTTTGTTTCGTTCTTAATTGGGAGATTGATTTCTCATTGTTTATCATGATCATTTCAATTGTCTCCTAGCTTTCTTTCCATTTTGAGATTTATATCACTGTAGTATTAACTCAACTCTCTCATATAATAATTGAAACAACTATATTATTGTCAACCTAGAAACCTCACATTCCATGGTTCTACTAAGTATAGACGGCTTTTTATTTTAAGTTTCCTTTAGCCTAACCCTTTATAAGTTATCTTAATAGTGGATTATACACAAAACGAAAAATTAAATTAAAAAAAAAAAAAAATCTAGCTCTAAGTCATCAACTTTTCTCTGTAGCCTTGTTCTAGTCCTTCCATCTTATAGTTCCTCTCCTTTGTTTCTTTTTTTTCATTCGGGTCAACTAACATTGCTCCCGTTTTCCTTAAAATTTTTCTAACCACTATTTATAAAATATGCTAAATTGTTGAATTCTCAATACGTACTCTTTTACCTTTTAGCTTAATTTATTAAATTAATGTCGATTGGCACTCAAATACTTTCATCTCTGAGTACTAGTTGACTATAACTCTCAAATTACATCTACAAAAGCCAAGAATTGAGGTAATACTAACATTAAACGGCTATTGCCAAGCAATTTGATTAAGCTATACGCCAAAGTTTCTTTTAGTTGAAAAAAAATAAAATATAAGCTCTAGAAGCTTGTTTCCCTCAACCTTAAAAGGCTCATCAGCTTTTTGGGAGTTCATAGCACTAGCCACAAGAGCTTAGCCAATAAGCCCTTTATTTCCATTGGGATGAACCGTATAATTTTACATCAAGTTTAGATAGAGGCAATTTTCCAACAAGCTCTTTGATTCTTTTAATGTCTTTTTTAAGTACCAAAAAAGGTGACAACAGAAATTTTAACATCTTCAACAAGAAGAAGGATTAATAGACTCAAAACGAGGAAAAAAAATTAAAACATAAAGAAAACTAAGAAATTCAAAAAGCACAAAGCAAAAATTAAGAAACATCTATCAGTGAGAATGCTTCACCACACAATACATCATGCTGTAGAAAATTTCCAATTCCACTTAATAATATTGCTAATATAAATTCACTCGTTCGATCTTCCACACAAATAGCAGATGCCCAAATCCTCTATATAAAGTACTAAACCCACCTAAGAGACTTCATTACTTAAAGCAATAGACTTCAGAGGCCTTTGTTAGCATAGGACGCTTTGTAAAGTTATTTAACCATTGGGCTCATAAATCAAACAATCAAATAACATTTACATTTAGGTCCCGACCTGCCGGATTCGAACCGGCGACCAGGGATTACTAGGCTCAGGGGTTGGAGATACCCCTTTGTAATCCTTACTCTTCCAACTGAGCTAAGGCCGGCTGTAAGATAGGATGTGAGCAACTATAAACAAAGTTAAAAGCAATAAGTGGACAAAAAGGACCATATGTGGGGCCGAGGAGCCTAGACTTTTTAGTATTACACCATTTACACGCATAAACAATAACTAAATAGAAGATGCAAGGCCTCATGAATAAAGGAATTCTGAATAAAGAGGGAGTATAAATAAGCTAAAACATGAATGACCAAAAGCTCCATTCAGCCAAATTCATTCAATATCAAGTTAAACACAAGCAAGCTATAAAATTTATTAATTGAAAAAAAATCTTGTGCACCCAGTTAGATTATTAGATAGACAAGAAAAAAAGAAACTTGATGTATCATCAAAAAAATATTGAACACCCAGCTCGATGTATCATCAAATCAAATAAAAAGTTTTTGACAGATGCCTTCCATCACATGAAAGTGTTTCTGTTTCATAGTACAAAATCTTTAAGATTCTTAAAACTCAAATATATATAATTTTTAAATTTTCTGAAATATCTCATGATTTTTAAGATAAAATAAAACAGTGAAATGAATTCCTGATGTGTGCGTATAATTATATGATATTTTACATAACGTGCTTTTATTAAGAAAATATAATTGAATGGGCTTTTGTTCAGCTCAAATTGTCTGGTAAGAGAATTTGTTGTTTTCACATCTATACTTGGCCAAATTTAGGATCAATTTTTAATTATTTATTAATTTTTTGAATAAATTGATGTATAAAAATAATAATAAACTAAGTTTGAAGTGTTTTTAATATTTCAAAAACACTAAACCAAAATGGACCGTTGCTTCTGCGAACTTCTGTTGTTCACTCGGGTACCAACTCAACCAATTCTCGACTCAACTGTTCCTTTCAACGATCCTCACTAGGTATGACATCAATCTTGTGTTAGATTCCTCTAGCAACGACACAATAACACAGCTTCTACACCTCTATTTAGGTTTCGTTTGGGACGGCTTTCTTGCTACTTCTTAAAGTAACTTTCTAGTCCAATCATTAAAATTTATGTTCTACAAAACTGCTTTAAGAAGCAACAAAAAAACTATCACAGACGAAGCCTTAAACTGTGGCTGATGCCTCTGCTTATAGAATTGATGACATAGAACTTTGCTCATAACAAATTGTGATTAATTATCCCGTAAATTGAGTGTTAATGGCAGGTGAGATTGAGATGATCACAACTGTATTGTGTTGATTATGTAGATGAGCAAGTTTAGATGATTACATGTAGATGTTGTTGTTAGATTTAATCATAATCATGGGCTGCTTATGGGATAAGAAGATTGTTTCAACACCATAGGGTTGCTTTGTTGTTTGAAGTTCGGTAAGAAATGAATACAAGGGATATCATATGGTCGCTAAGGAAACGTGGATGGTGAAATGTTCAGGAAAGAGACAGTTGAGATGCCAACTACTGGAGATGAAAATTAGAGAAACGATGACAAGGTGAAGCATTCGTACTGAAGCAAGTGATGTACTTTCTCAATTGACTCGATTAAATGGTAATTATATGGACAATTAATTTGACCATTAACAAGTGATGTACTTTCTCAATTGACTCGATTATTAAAATGTAGGCAGCCGCCTACTTTTTTTTTTTGAAAATAATTAATGAAAAATAATACCAAACATTTGTCTAATAATAGACCAAAAAAAAAAATTTAAATTAGAGAAGCATACATTAAACATACAAATATATCATGCACGTGTAGAATATATTAAATTATAAAGGCCTTGCAACCATATCCGTTTGCGTGCATTAGTATTAGCCAAGAGAACAAATTCTTTTATAGATTCTTCAATTTATCCACAAAACCGTGTGTAATTGTTAAAAAGGGTTTTGAGTGGAAACAAAAGCCTAGATATGGTTATGTAATGTAAAAATTAATATGACCCTAAAATCAAACTAGGAAAGAAAAAATTTACTATTCCGTAAGGCTTTGTAAAGCATATGGTACGGTAGTCTCTTATGATGATGTTAGTGCAGCTTAGTCTTAAAGAAATGTAGCACGCTGAATTCGAATACTCATACAATTTACTCAGACCCCACCTATCCGTTTTTTTTTCTTTTTTTTCGTTCATACAAATTGAGTTCAACAAGGGCAAAAACGATAATAAATTTGAATTAAATTCAATCCCAAAATTCCAAATAGAACTCAATAGTTGGGATGGATAATTCTAAGTGAAAATACCATGGTAATTGGAAGGGATCCTTATGCACAACTAAATTGATTCTTAGCAGTTACTACATAATAGGGGAATCTAATTCCAGAAGAAACGGAAATTTTTAATCCCTTTATGTACATAAATAATAAACAGAAATAAAATTAACATGAAATAATTGCAATACGTAAAGCTGTAGCACATGTCAGCTATTGAAGCTTAAGCCCCGCGATTTATTTCATGAAATGTTTGAAAGAAAGCATTAAACCAAATTCGCATAGCGAAACTTTGATTAATGTCTATTAAATTTTTAAAAGAAATTCTTGGTAAAGTACACTCATCTTCCGTTAAGTTTGCATTATTATTATGAGTAAGAAAAATTATACATTCTTATTGGCATAATAATATTTTAGTGTCATTTTATTATATAAAAAAATAAAGATTCAAATATAAATTTTCATCATTATCATTTTGAAGTAGGAGGTAACATTCATTCCAATCACACTTTTAGACGCTAGCATTAAAACAAACTCACTCGACTTTTAAGCCATGCAACTTTTGACCCAGAAGAAAAGTCCAATGGATGAATAACTTGGTGAAAGGCATCAGGACAGAATGTTATACTCTAATAATCCACATCAGTGAAAATGGACAAAATATTGGCTCGAAATATCTTAATCAAAACTTTCATCAAAATATGCCTTAAATTTCTTAGATTTATTTCAAGATAAATACAACATAATTTTAATTAATATTTTACATATTACACTCATCACAAAACAAATACAAAAGTTTTGATATTTATCTGAGACCCAAATTTCTCAAAGGATGTCCTATAGGACTTTACTGAATGTTAGCCATTAGTTTCAAAAGTAGGTTGGTCGTTTGAATATATTGGAGAAATAAACAAGAAAGGTTTCCCATTTATAAGTTATTTACAGTCATGGCCTCCAAAAATTATAACAAATCATAAAAGAGGGGATTTATGATGAAGCTTATTAGCGCAACCCATCAGCAAAATCGAGAAAGGAATTCATGATACAGCTCGCTAGAACAAGACGTCAATGGTGCCAGCACAGGAAGTCGTCTCAAAACTCACTAGGGCAAGCTAATGAAGTTAAAAAGATAATAGATTATATAAATATTGAAATTAATATATTAAATATATAAATGAGAAAATTGTAGTTGTTATGTAAGTAGATCCCCCATGATATAAAGGAGCCAACACTGTTCTTCACATTGTCTGGTTAGATTTGACCAACCGACAAATAGAAAACTATAATAGGTTAATCCTAGTAACATAAGGTAAAATGAAGTGTTGGGATCAGGCGCTTATGAGATAAAATTATCACGGTAATTGGGAAGGATTCAAAGCATCAAAGTTTTTATTTGAATATACACAACCGAAATATTTTACCTTAAGCTGCGGAGATTTTCCACAATTTTTAGGCCTGACCCGTAAATATAAAAAATTAAGACCCTCGTGAAACATTGGACGTGTGATGAGTCTTTTGCACTGACAAAGATTTGTCAATCAGCAAGGCAATGCCAGAGCCTGTGAACTCACGAAGTTAAACACTACGAACCCTTGAGGTCATATTAACAAATGGCTCATCTAAATATTAAATATATATTTTTTCTTTCTCAATGCTTCTTTAAAATCCCTTCATATAGATCCTTCCTTGATCTCAAAATGAGTCCCCATGCGTGCACCCAACGTTCTTTATATTCTTTTCATTTTATTTTGAGAGTAAAATAAAGTTTAACTTGTTAGCCTGGCATTACTGTTAGGGAATAAACAACATACCTAGCACATTCAGAGGAATTGGAGATCATGAATTCACTTGAATAAAACCTGCAATGAAGTGAGTCTCCGTAAATATACTGAAAAAATCAGCCAAAAAAATTCACTGTAATAAAGCAACATGTAAGCTGGTACAGAAGAAAAAAAAAATTTTGAAGTTTTTTTAACATCTTGACAAGGGAAGAATATCATATAGGTGAAATAATTCAGTTGGAACCATTATAACTTTTAATAAATTTTATCATAATTGTTGACGAGAACCACAAAATAGATCAAGCGGTTGCATAAAGATGATAGCCTTGTATCATCGCTGAAAATTATCAAAGAGATTTTCTATAGGGAGTAAAACATCACTGACTTATTAGACCCAATAAAGCAAGCATTGTGTCCAATGGAGGGAATTCAACAAAGAGACAGCAAAACTTTACTAAATATAAATGTATAATTATTCCACGGGCCGCCTCCAAAATAATGTGATGGGCAGAAAACCCCCTTACAATCAATAAACACATCATCAATTTGGTTATTTCGTGTCATTGAGTTCTCCAATATGATAAGAGGGCAAGACAACTAACGTCCCAAGCTACCATTGTAGTCCGAATTTTTTTTAAAAAAAGGAAAAAATTATTATCTCAATTTTAGGAGGCCAAAATTTATATATTATAACTACAACAATGCAATATATAAACATTAAAGGACTTTCCCTAATCTCTATCAACTCATTCCGCCACATGTATTCTGCCCACTAAATTCCATTTACAGGAGTATTTAGAATTGCCACAATAACAGGAATGGACACACAAAGCAGCTTTGTGAAATCCTCAATACATAACAATATATTTCGGAGGAATAAAACATCTAGAAGAGCTCCAGAGAGAGGTCAATCATAACTAACGGCCATAAATGAATGAATAGACTATATATCACTGCAACCACGGAGAGATGCCTTCGTGGCTTTGCAATGGATGTCAGACATGAATCTGTTAATAAGCGCAAACAACGTCCAAGCACTAGCCACGTAGGAATGAGAAAGCTAAAAGAGCCAAACAATCAATAATCTCAAAATGATTTTTAAAAAATCTGAAGAGGTGCTATGGAATATTCTCAAAATTTCTTTATTTACAGCTAGCCAAATGATTAATTGCATGTTAGAATAGAATCCCAGTGAAAACCAGCTGTTGGGTAACAATAACAAAATGAATTACTAAAAAAAAAGGATTTTTAAGAGATGCCCTCGTGAAAAAATTTTATTCAGAAAAAAAAAAATGGTAAAGATAAGCCAGATAGTAAAAGGTGGTTTCCACCTAAATATTAAATTAATAAGGCTTTCCGTATCAGTCGGTACAAATGTTTTCAATGTAACGAACAGACCCAAATATAAGAGAAGACAAAGACCATTGACCTTGGAAAAGAACTGTCATCAGCTAAACGACGCATCATCAACGGTAGATCAACGATGAGAGCGGAAGTATGAGAGAAAACCATCCGCCTTTTCATTATGATCGTTACCTGAGAAAACATATGGTCCAAATTTAGAAGTCGATTACCAAATAAACCGCAGACGAAGGCAATTAAAGACAATCTCTGAAGACCAGCACAAAGTAAATGAAGATGAAATCTAAACTTTGCAAAGAAAAATTAGAAAAAAAAAAGTCCAAAGATGCAGCATGAAGCAAGTTTTCAAAAAAATGTTTAATCAGAAATTTGAAATGATTGAATATGTTCGGATCACTTGCGGACTTCAAGAGAAAAAAAATTATAGACAGAAAAGTAGAACATAAAAAGAAGCTTTTACATTTTTCTTTTTTTCTTTTTCAAAACCAGCTGTTACATCTTTTACAGCATTAAATCGATAACAGCAAGCAACTAAATCATATGCTTAAAACCTGTTTCTGCACTTTTCCTTGAATTTCAAATTTATTAAATCCGAGAGTTTCATGGATTTATAAGATTTAGTAAAAGAAGCAAGTCAAAAGAAGAAAAATTGAGGGTTACCATTGTGAGGAGCTCCTGCACAATTTCTCCTTTCCGGCAAAGGAATAAAACAAAATGAGGTCACAAATAGAGGTGAATCCGATCTCACAATCCCTACGACAATCGATGTATTTCACTATAGGTGGAGGAAGAGTAGATGTAACGCCAGAGTAGTTAAGAGGCGGCGAAGAAGTTTCCCATGCATGAGCAACTATGTAGAACCGATACTCCTATTTACGAAGGAATGATGTATCGGACACGCGTCGGATACAGATACGCCTCCAATATGGCACGAATAAGTGTTGGACACGGCCTTATCATGTCCAATTAAAATAGTATTTAAATTTGATAGAACACATGTATCGGATACGCGTGCCCTGTTAAAAAACAAAAAAAAAAAAGACGGAGCAGCTCGATTTTCCTTATTCATTTCCGCGACCCGCTTGATTTGGCTGTTCATTTCCGCGACCCGATCATTTCCGCAATGAGCTCTAGCTAGGGTTTCCAATTCCCTTAGCAACCTTCGTCTTCTGCGTTGTCGTCAAAGGAACGGCTCGACGACGCAAGCAGTCGACGGGACATCCTTCGTCGACGGGGCGGCTAGACAACGAAAGAAGTTAAGGCAACGAGAGCAGGCCGACGCGAGTTAAGGCTCTTCTAGTGCATTTGTGACGCGAGCAGGCCGACGCAGTGAAGGGTACGGTTTGCGACCAACTTTTCTAGTGCATTTGGCGTGTTTAGTTCTCTTTATTCTAGCTACTATCACTGTGATGTCTTTTTCTAGTTATCGATATTCCTCATAATCCAGCGATCGAGTTTAGACATAGGTATGGTTTGTTTAAAAAAAAGCGCTATAATTTTTTTAGTTATAAATTATAATTTTTTTCATATGGGTTTGGGATTTGAAGAAGATAGTGTAAATTTTTTAGTTTTTTTTTTTTTTTTCATATGAGTTTGGGAAACTATTTGAAAGATTAAGCTATAAGCCTATAACCTAATTTCATTATTCTGTTGAATAATGTTTGAGGCTTTGGGCATTCTATTTGGAGTTCTAACTATTAAACCTATAATTTATGTTGATCATTCGATTCTTTCGTAAGATAATGAACTCTAGTGGTGGAGGAATAGTGTCTGTTGATGGTCCATCAGAGACCAATATTAAAGATAACAAACCTTTGTGGGGTCATGTGACAAAAATAGAGAAAAATCAGAAGTGGCAATATTGCATTCAAATGCAATTACTGTAATGTCACATATAAATGATCATATTATAGAGTGAAAGACCATTTGTTGAAGATTAGTGGTCATGGAATTAAAGTATGCCCGAATATAAGCTCATCACAAATGACTGAATTACAAAGGAAAATCCATGAAGCTAAGTAGAGTAGAAAAGAGCTTCCAAAAGATATTCTGTTAGACCGGTCCAGCCGGTCCACGTGGGACCGGCCCAGCCACAACGAGGCGGAACTTCCGCCTCACGTTTCAGCCGCACGCTCGCCTGGATCAAAAAGGGCCGAATAGGAAGGTTTTTGAATGGATTTTAGGAGGGAAATTGAATGTAGGGACTGTTTAGGGAATTCCTTTTGATTTGTATGCATTAAATAGTTGATTTTCCTAGGGTTTGAGTATCTTGAATTTGGCTGAAATTTGATATCTCTTAGATTTAGGTTTTCTTTGGGCTCTTGGCGTTGCCAGAGATTTGGGAGAGATCGATCCTCCTCTTGAATTGATGATCAATTGTATCTTGCTATTTTATTCATCGTCTAAGTGGAATACAAGTCCTTTCTTGAGTTTTCTCTCATATTTTCCAGGACAAGTGCTGTCTTCCTGCTGTAAACAGCAGATTTCTGTTGTTTTCCTGCCGTGGACAGCCATTTGGCTGCTGTTGGTTCGTCGATTTGGGTTAGGTTTGCTGCAAACTCAAGTACTACCTTAGGGTTACTTGCGAACTCAAGTATTTCCTATCAAATTGGTATCAGAGCATCGATTTGGGACGATTGGCGACTGGATTTCTGTAATTTCAGCGGATTTTATTGTTCCGGAGGAAGTTTTCTTGTGATTCTTGAGAAGAGAGATGGCCGGGAAGGTGGTGGAAGTCTTGGAACGCGAGATCGGACAACTAAAATCAGATTTGGAGGGGAAATTCTTTGATTTTCAAAATCAAATCACCTCCAATAATGAAAGGATGGAAAGGAAGTTTGCCGTGATAGAAGAGATGCTGAAGAAATTGCTTGAAATGAAGACCAAACCGACGATATCGGAAGTACGAGGGACCACCGATGGCCATGGCATGGGAGGAAATCCAAACCCGTTACGGGGAGGAGGAATTCGGAGGTGGAGATTCTGGAGGAGGAGAATGACATGCTCCCTCTAGAACCGCTTTCTAGAGAAAAGATGAGTAGGGGATACAACTACGGGAGGCTGATTTGGTCGGAAGGAGGGACGAATTCAATCGCCGAGGTGCTGAATTTGAAAGAATACAGCGTCCATGAGCTGATTTTGAAGGGGGAATGGAAGAATGTCATCAGCGAGGTGCTGAATTCGAAGCGTCGAGGGGCTGTTTTTGAAAAAAGAAGGGAGAAACATCATCGTCGAGGTGCTGAATTTGAAGGAATTCAGCGTCGAGGTGATGATTTTGAAGGGAGAATAGGAGAGTATGAAGAGGGATTCGAGTATAATCGTCGGAGGGTTGATCGAGACACTTGAGGAACTCTTTCCCTTCGAGGAATGGGAGGTTATGGAGGATACCGGGGAAACTGGGGAGACCCGCGAGTGAGGAAGCTGAAGATGCCCGTCTTTGAGGGTGAAGACGGCCATGGCTGGATCTATAAGGTGGAGCATTACTTTGCTATCAACGAGTTGACAGAGGAAGAGAAGTTGACAGCGGCGGGATTGTGTTTGGAAGGAAAAGCCTTGGCATGGTACCAATGGCGCGACAGGAGGGAGCCTATCCGGAGCTGGAGAGAGTTCAAAGATTGCTTATTGGAGTGTTCCGAGCCGATGGGGGAGGAAACTTCTATGAGTAATTCTTTGCCTTGACTCAGGAGGGGACTGTGACAGATTACCATGACAGGTTTGAGTACTTAGCTAGCAGATTGGATCACATTTTAGAGTCAGCCCTGGAAGAGAACTTCATGAAGGGGCTTAAACCAGATATACGAACAGCGGTCAGGGTGCTGGAGCCGAGGAACCTAGGGAAGGTTATGGAGCTGGCGTAGTTGGTAGAAGATCAGAAGAAAGCAGAAAGAGGGGCTCGAGGAAACAGCTCAGGAGGCTCTTACAGGACGACGACCACTCTTCTAGCACCTAAGGGGCTTGCATCAGGCAACAGTAATGAGACCACCCGGGAGAAGTCAGTAGGAGGGAGTGGAGAAAATTTCAAGAGGTTGACAGAGAGGAGATGCAGGATAAGAGGACAAAGGAGTTGTGCTTCAGATGTGACGAGAAGTACATGCCAGGGCATAGGTGCAATGACCGAACTCTTCAGGTTCTCGTCTGTGAAGACGAGGAAGACGAGGAGGGAGGTGGGAGCAGATCTGGAAAGGAGGAGAAGTTGCACCTGGATGTGGCAGAAGTCTCTCTGAACTCTGTAGTGGGATTCACTCCGAGTCATACTATGAAAGTGAAATGAGAGATAGCTGGTCATGAGGTGGTGGTGCTAATTGATAGTGGGGCTACCCACAATTTCATTTCCACTCAAGTCGTCAACTAACTGGGAGTAAAATTGATGGACACCAGTTGTTATTGGGTGATGATGGGTACAGGGAAGGTGGAGAAAGGCCAGGGAATCTGTAAAGGAGTTTTGTTGACCATCAAGGGGATTCAAGTAAGGGAGGACTTTCTCCCACTAGAGTTAGGAACCACTGATGTCATCCTGGGGATGAAGTGGTTGCAAACCTTGGGGGAAACCAAGGACAATTGGGGAGCACTCACGATGGAATTAATGGTGGATGGGAGAAAGAAGTTTTTTTGAGCGTTTTGAGAGGGAAATTTGAATGTAGGGACTGTTTAGGGAATTCCTTTTGATTTATATGTATTAAATAGTTGATTTTCCTAGGGTTTGAGTATCTTGAATTTGGCTGAAATTTGAGATCTCTTAGATTTAGGTTTTCTTTGGGCTCTTGGCGTTGCCAGAGATTTGGGAGAGATCGATCATCCTCTCGAATTGAGGATCAATTGTATCTTGCTATTTTATTCATCGTCTAAGTGGAATACAAGTCCTTTCTTGAGTTTTCTCTCATATTTTTCCGGACAAGTGTTGTCTTCCTGCTGTAAACAGCAGATTTCTGCTGTTTTCTTGCCGTGGACAGCCATTTGGCTGCTGTTGGTTCGCCGATTTGGGTTAGGTTTGCTGCAAACTCAAGTACTACCTTAGGGTTACTTGCGAACTCAAGTATTTCCTATCATATTCCACTTCCAAGCGCCCATGCTTCATATCCTTCATCATCTTCTTCAATTTGAAGTGATGATAATACTGTGAACAACGGGCCTTTAGGACGGAGAGATATGAACCTAAAAGAAGACAACATGTTTTAGATAGTGCTTTGGAGAAAGCATTTAATTTGCAAATGAAACAACAATTAGATGGAGAAATAGCTAGAATGTTCTACTCAGTCGGACTACCTACAAGGAATTCACATTATAAGAATGTAGTGATAAAAATTATATATAAACAAGAGAGGAAGACACTTCATGAAAACTCAAATTTTTTTGATGTTATTTATACCATTCTAGGAGATAGATGGAGCAAAAGTAATACGCATTTACATTGCTTAGCTCACTCACTAAATTCAACATTGCTTAGATTTTCCAGGTAAATTTTAACATTTTTTTCATTATTCATTCGCAATTTGTTGTATAGTAATTTCTAATACTATTTGCTTTTAATGTTATTTGAAGATATTTAAGTAAAAAATGACTTCAAGAGGATCCTCAATGAGTTTCTCCACAAAAATATTTAGAAATTTCAAATATGAGGAAGACAAGTTTGAAGCGTTATTTTTCAAATGATGAGAGAAGTGTCAATATTGAGCTTGCTAAATTTTTTGATTATATAGAGGATTTTAATGACCAAGAGTCAGTGCATGATAGATGAAGAATTGATCCGAAAATATGGTGGTTGATACATGGAGCTTCAGCACCAATACTTCAAACAATCGCCATAAAATTGATTGGTCAAGTTTCATCCTCATCTTGTTGTGAAAGAAATTGGAGCACATGCTCTTTTATCCAATCAATTAAGAGAAATAAAATTACCTACAACGGGCTGAAGATTTAGTTTATGTGCATACAAACATTCAGCTTCTATCAAGGAAAACTCTAACTTATTTGGAAGGAGATATCAGGATGTGCGATGTTGCTAGAGATGGATTTGAATCTCTTGAGAATATGGGAATATTAGAAATTGCTAATCTTTTACTTGATGAGCCATAATTGGAAGCTATGATATTTATTGAAGATGATGTAGAAGTTCAAAGACAAACAACTAAAGAAGCTAATCCTATCATTCCTATTGAACAGTTGAAACTTCATGTGCTAAACAATTTCTGTTTTTTGTTGTTGTACTAGACATTTAATGCTTACTTTTATTTTGATATTATAAGCTACAAGGCTACAAATGATATTTCTTCCATTTTTTTTATCATTTCAAATATTGCGCTTTGATTACTTTCTTAATTTTTATGTATGATTTATATATTATAATGTTGTATCTGCGCCGTACCTGTATCCTATATTTTAAGAATTGACATGTCTTGTATCCGTGTCTCCGTATCAGTGCAACATAGATGAGCAACTATCAAACCCCATCTTAGTGAGTAAAGATTACATGTTAGTTTTTTTTCCCAATATCTTCTTCCTGTTTACCCAGAGATTCTCGATTATTTTAAACTTACATTATATTATTGATGTTGTGATCAGTACATATATGTCTGCATAATTGTTTTGGAATAATTGTTTTAAAAGGCTTTTGTTTTTAATGTCGTGTTGATTTTCTTCTAATTGTTAAGCTCTTGATTGGTTAATTAGGATTACATTTGTTTATGATAAAATCAAAATCAATAATTAATATTATTAATAATAAATCGAATTAATTGAATAAAAATTTAATTATAATTAAATTAATCTTAATAATTAATATTAATTAATCAAACATATTAAATATAAATACTATTATTTGTGGTTAAATGACATTAGAAAATTATTGTATAAAATTAATTGATAATTTACTCATTGATAATAAATCAAAATATTATTTAAGCTAATTATGATTGTAGGCCATGAGATTATATATTTCAATTTCAATACAACGACGACATCAAGCCTTTATCCCATTATGTGGGGTGGTCGGATACATGAATCCTTTTGCTTCACTATACTATTAAGAGTCAAATTCTCATTAAATCTAATAAAAATATATTATTATTTCTAACACTTTATAACAAAGTTTTTTAGGTGTACTTCTACATTTCTTAACATAGGCCAAAGCTAATACATTTACTCTCCTAACCATGTCATCGGAAGACCGACACTTTATGCGATCAAACCATCTAAAGGCTAATCTTATATGCCACTGGAGCAAATTTAACCTTTTCACATATATACTCGTTTAATTTCAATACAATAATTAATATTAAAATCATATTTAAACTAACAAACTTAAATCCTGAACTAAGTAGCCAAAAAAATTCATTAGGATTTAATCAAGTATATCCTCGATCATGCCAGATAATTTGCAGGATTTAACTACCTTAGGATTTGTTAAATCCAGATTTATAGGATTTACTAAATTCTACATTGAGTTAAATCCTAATAGTAACCAAACAACCCCTTAGTGCCACAAGCACATCAAAAGATGTGCATGAAAATATATATTTCATTTTAGAAAAAAGATAATTTTAGTGGTATTTTAAATGTGAATTAAAAATTTTAATGCTATATAAATAAATATAAAGATTTAGATATTAAATATATAAATACATTAGAAGAATGTGGTATGTATGTAAATTCTTGAAAAATCTAATTGAAAGGTAATTCAAATACATAGCAAAACAAGCAAAAAAGTGCAGTTGCAAACATTCTAACCTTCTGGAGTAAATAGAATGTGAAAGCAATGATCCAAAGATCTGCAGTAGCGTGTTATGATGACCTTCAAAATAAATTCCGAAGGATGCCAGTTTCATTGAACAGTGCACTTTTCAATACTTGTCAGGCATGTTCACTGCATCCTGCAACTCCAGAACAGATCAACTCCATGGTATATCCTATGCCAAGAAAACAGTCATCATTATCTACTTCGATGACAATTTATCAAATGTTACAGTTAGAGCAATTTTTCATCCTTATGTGCTTGATACCAAAAACAATAAATTTTAACAAATCAACTAAAATATTCACATGGCCAACATTTTTTTCCAATAACTTCAAGCCGCACATAAAAAGAAATGAGCAAACTTTAAAGGCCTACTCAGAAGTCGACCAAATAGAAATTTTCTGAATAAAGAACACGATCTTAGCCCATCTTTAAGAACAAAATAAAAGGGGATTTATATATTAAAACTTCGAATGGTTGAATATAAGCCTATGAGGCACCAACACATCTTATGAAGTTCTGCGCAGTGTCGAATATGTGTCAAACACAGACATGCACCCAACACGGCTGGGACGCATGATGCAATCTAGGATTTTAGTTTTATATTTTGTATTTTATTTATGTTATGGATGTTATGTAATTTTGGACTTTGTTTTTTTTATGTGTCCTATGATGGAAATCAACAAATGATCATGCTTGGGTTAGGTGCTCTTTGGTAATTTCTCTCTTTTGGTTTTCCACTCATTTTGAACTTGTTCTTTTGTTTCATTATTGGCTTAGCGGGCATTTATTATTGGGCTAATATTTCCTAAAAGGGCTTGGCCCATATCTTTCCATTCTTCTTAGCAGTTTGGTGTCCAGTGCTTATTACGGTTTGCTTTTGTTGGTTGGAATTCCTGCTGGTTTTCCCCATGCTATTGGCGGTTTCTTGGGGAATTTGTTTTGATTTTTTTTCTGGGCATTAATTTCTGCAGTTGGCCGTTCCCCTCCCTCTTGTTGTTTACAAGTCTTATGTTGGCTCCTATTGGTTATATCGGATGGCTCATTTATGTGGGCTGTTGGGTCCTTTTCCTCCTATTTATGGGTTGTTTTGCTGCTGTTGGAGGGGGTTGTTGGCTGAAACCTGAGGGTTTTCTTCCTAAGCTTTAGAGCTTCCTTTTCATACACCTATTTCTTCTTCCGGTCTTCTATCTATTTCAACTCTCCACGGTTTCCCTTCCACTTGTATCCTTCTTCTCCAAATATAAAGAGTGTGGTGTGTTGTTGAGCCGGTTTGTTGGTATTTGCCGGAGTGCCGACCTGTGTTGGAACAAGACTGTTGTGGTGAACCTCTGGTTTGATTTTTCCTTGAGCACCAATCTCTAATTTTCATATCTGCATGTGAGGTAACCTTTCTAGGTATTTCTGAGGGAAGTTTATGTTTTAGTTTGTTTATTGCAAAGTTTCCTTATTGTTTTCTTATAACTATTTCCTTCTATTTGTGTTGGTTTATGTTTTATTGAAGGAAGTGTCCTGTTGTATTTCTAATATTTTCCTACTTGGCTATAGAATTGAGGTATACATCAACACTTGTCAGACACGTCGGGACATGCGAGTCCTAATACCTAATTATAAAAAAATTCAAAATAATAAAATGAGCCCCATTTTAAGTAGCCACGTATGCCATATTCCTTCGTATTCTTCTTTTCCATGAGTGAGTAGGCCAGGCTTTATGCGAGTATCTTCATCTTCATTTATGCGAGCAGGCGAGCCGAAGGAGGCTACTACGCGAGTAAATGAGGCCAAAGGAGGCTAATATGCGAGCAAGTGAGGCCAAAGGAGGCTAATATGCGAGCAAGTGGGCTGTCACTCCATATTTTCCTCTTTGTTATTTCCGCGAGTAGACTAGGCCACCAAAACAGACTATATTAATTTTCCTAATAGCCCTAGATCGATGCATACAAAGACCTAAACCGAAAAACACCATATCTACCACGATCTCAATCACTCACTCGCTCTTGACTGCTAAAGCTAAGAACTTCAGGTTTTTTTCCTCTGTTTAGGGTTATGATGGAATTGTTACCTTGAATTTTTATTTCATGCCTTTTAGATTTCATTATTTTCTTGTCGAGTCCAAACTAATATATTTGTTAGCAAGTTATTACTAGTTTCTCACCATTTTTTTAGCAATTTATTAATAAATTCATTACTTCTTTTATCACAAGCATGGAATGGGAAACCTCAAACAAACATCATTTGAATACATGGATGCATTTAGCTTTGGACTATTAACAAGTTTGAAGCACAAAACTAACTCAAATATAATTCTGCACAGTAATATATTAAATATTAATGAGTAGTTGAATGTTGATGTTATACTAAATAATTTTTACTTATTTTTTTGTATTTGTAATAGACATTTTATGCGTATTTGTCATTTCTAATATGATGTTATATTATTTTCTATAAACTACTTAAAAATTATAATGTCTTATCCGCGTCATACTCGTATCCTATATTTTTAAAGATAGCAGTGTCCGTGTTGTCATGTTGATGTCGCCGTATCCGTGTCAGTGCATAATAGACTACAAAGAAGTCACCTATGGTACAAAAATCAATTTCCATGGTAGTTTATTTGGAAACCGTAAAATTTAGCAACCTTGCTACCCACAAAACTACAAAGTTTTCATGAAAAGATGTATGTTGCTACAAAAACAAGCTTGTAGAAAATCAATATTTAGCAACAAGATTATAATAGAGAATTCTGTTAACAAAATAAAGACAATAACAACAACAAAAAGCTTTTATCCAACTATGGGGTAGGCTACATAAATCTTTTTTTTTCCATTGTGTCCTGTTAAGAATCAAATCCTCATCTAAATCTAATAAAGAAAGGACATTTATAATTTTTTCTAACCCAGTCTTTTTAGGTCTACCTCTACCTTTCTTAATATAAGTCAAATCTAATACATCTACTAACCGGCTCATCGAAAGGTTGTTGCTTTATGTGACCAAACCATCTAAGGTGACTCTCTCTAATCTTATCTTCCACTGGAGCTATTCCAACCTTTTCACATATATGCTCATTTTGTATCATGTCTTTAAGAGTAAAGCCACTCATCCACCTAAGCCTCCTCATCTCTGCAACACTTAATTTAATATTATACTTCTCTTTTAATGGCCAACATTCTGCACCATAAAGCATTGCAGGTCTCACTGCTATCTTATAGAATTTTCACTTAAATTTGAGAGGGACTTTTCTATCACATAACAAGTCTGATGCATTCCTCCACTTCAACCATCCAACTTGAATTCTACTAATAATATCCCCATCTATTTCACCATCACTCAAACAATAGACACAAGATATCTAAAACATGTGCGCTTATTAATGACTCGATCACCCAAAATCACAATCCCCAAATAGATCTATTATTACTAAAATTACACTCCATATATTCAATTTTAGATCTACTCAAAAAAAAAGCCTTTAGACTCGAAGGTTTACCACCATAATTCAAATTATCTTCAAATCCCTCTCTAGTCTTATCAACAAGAAGAATATCATCAGGTACAACCTCTTGCAAATGTCTAGTGAGAACATCCATGACTAAAGCTTAAAGATAACAAAATAAAGACGATCTAAAGTTATACTGCATTGAGAGATATTAGCCCGCTAAATCAATGAACGAATCTGCCGTGAGGGCTGAGCTGACGGGAATTAAAGTAGCCCTCTAAGTGCACGTGACCAAAATATATGATTACTGCGTATCCAGGTTTTAAATCGCAGGAAAACAAGACACGGGATGAACTCTTTTCATGAAACAGCTTTGATTTGTGGACATCCAAGGATACAAACTAAATAAATTGCAAAGATCAAAAACAAGAGCACACACAGAAATGCAAACTATGGCAAGGCAACACCGCAACAGTAAGACCATATATTCTATTACATGCTAAGAAGTTTGATGGGCACGCATGAAATAAAAACGTAGTGATGGTTGGCCTTTTTAGGTGAGCCAAAATGCCATAAAAAAGTGGCATGTGTGCGATAAGCGTATACATATCTGCATGAATGAGCATTTGCAATAAGAATTAGCAACCAAACAGTTATAATTAAATTCTCAATCAATTCCATTATATCCATTTTCATAGGAAAATACCGTTCGATGGTTGTGACTCTGAAATTCAAGGTGTACAGGAAATTTTTGCCACTTCTGGTGTAATACATGAAAAGGCCACCAAGTTTTCCCTTTCAATCAACCGTTTAATTTTTTGATATAAATAATAAGGTTATAAAAGTAATTATAGTAATATCATTCTGCACTATTTTATGTGCTAAAAAGCTCTATTGATACATATTTCAAGATTGAAAAAATAAGAAAATTTTACATTACCTAGCCAAATAAGCAGCAAACACTTCTAAACTCTCTTGCACAGTTTAAGGTTGAAAATGATTATAAATGTCCCAACCAAAGCATCCAAGGAAATGCTAAATAATTTATAGAATCAAATGACCTTAATAGACGTGAAAATAAGTATTTAATGCATCACTTTAGAGACCTCCATCACTGGATTGTCTATATCTATGAATGTTGAAAGAGCGAATATATATTCAACACTGAAAATGACTACAAGTCTACAACATATTTTACTTCCTGTCTGCTTCATCATTGCTTTCTAGTATGCTATATAGCATCTTGCAGAATATACAGTAAGCGCCAAGAAATTCACAAAAGAAAAAAAAATACTTGTATCACAAATCAAGAGAAAAAATATATAAATAATAACAATAACAAAATCATCATCATCGTCATCAATATTAGCCATATACCAACACTATTTAAGGTATCCTTTATTAATTCCCATTCTTCATGTGCTTTTATTGAGTGATACATAACAACAACAACAACATCAAGCCTTTATCCCACTACGTGGGGTCGGCTACATGAATCCTTTTTCTCCATTGTGTCCTATCAAAAGTCAAATTCTCGTTTAAAACTAATAAAGAAAGGTCATTCCTAATATTTTCTAACCAAGTCTTTTTAGGTCTACCCCTACCTTTCTTAGCATAAGTCAAATCTAATACCTCTAGTCTTGAAAGGCCGCCGTTTTATGTGACCAAACCATCTAAGGCGACTCTCTCTAATCTTATGTTCTACTGGAGCTACTCCAACCTTTTCACGTATATGCTCATTTCGTATCCTATCTCTAAGGGTAAAGCCACTCATCCACCTGAGCATCCTCATCTCCGCCACACTTAACTTAGTATTATGCTTCTCTTTTAAAGGCCAACATTCGGCACCATAAAACATGAGGTGCTAAATTTATTATGCACAACTTTTATTCATACAACCCTTTTTTCCCGCTTAATCTTTCAGCACTAACATTATCTTTATGCCTTTTGGGTGCATCTTTCACCATTAGTTGTACATGCCCAAACTAAAGTCTATCATGTCTAAAAAAAAAGCAGAACACGACATGATCATTTATTTGCAGCATAGAAATTTATGATTGTCACACAGAAAGGTATTAGTTTCAGTAACAGAACCATCATAGGTAAGAGTAATTTATATTTGGAAGATGAGAGTAATTTATCTTTAACACATGATTGTAATACAAAAGGTGTTATTTTCAGAAACACAATCATCTTCATCACAACCATAGACATTGGTTTTTTATCTGTCAGTTCTGAAGCATTTGGATGCGGGAATTTGAGTAAAAATAATAATTGTATAAAAAAGGGTAAAATATCATACCAATGGCTGCAGATTTATAGTCAACCCACAAATTATTGAGACTTTATTTCATTTCCCTCAACTTCCTATTTCCTTCAATCCAAAAAATGCTTCGGGATTTAATTGATAGTTTACACACGGAATAGATTACCTGACCAATGATCAATTATCAAACTTTACTCATTCAACAATTTGCAATTATATCTCATAAGAAATATAACTTTGATAAGACAAAGTCTCCCCCATTACTATAGCATCAGGGCACCAGAATCATCCATGGCAGTTGTCACAACAATAAATTGGCTTTATCAATCACATAGGATGATTAATTTCATGGTTTACACAAGAAATACATTACAAGTTACCAACTAAAAAGAGCATTCTTTATTCCAAATAAGAAGAAAAAAAAAAGAGGAATATTTTGGAATAATTTTACCTCGTAACACAAGTGCTAACCATGGTTTTATCAGCAAAATCACTTAGCATTTAATAATAGCATAAAAATGGAGAAACAAACAACCATCACTCAACAATTTTCGTGAATTTATTATACTTTTTTATAAATGACAACAGAGAACAGCATTTTCACATAATAATGAAATGATGATTAACCTATATGTATTTAATAAATCAATGGATCATAAATCAGCTTATACCTTGAAGAAATAATTATGACCAGCATATGAGTTCTCCTAGCTCATACCATGAACGAATAATTATGACCACCTTATGAGTTCTCAACTGTTGCAATGGCCTATTAATGATGGTAATGTCAAAAAAAAAATTGTGATAATAACAAGAGAGGCTCCGAGTTAACTTGAGCTCAAAACAACAAGATGATAAATGGGAATTCATAGATTGAAAACACAAGGCAGGGGCTTGATACAAACCTTGACCACAAGAAGATGCAATTTCTAGTTCATTGATCCTCGGCACCTAAAAAATCAAAAGACATCCTTGTCAGGAAGTGATGATGACGATAAATCCACACAACCTACATGGGCCTCACTCCAATATATAATTGCTATCCACAAGGAAAGCATCAGATATAAAAAATAAAATAAAATAAAAAGGAAAGCATCAGATATACATGCAGCTTGCCCTTCACAGGCAGGCATCCTAAGAAACGACTGGTAAACCATGCATAATAACAAAAATTGAATCTTTGGCACATGACAATTACACCTGGTATTTCTGCTCAGGCATTGCTATCCAGCATTACAGGATAGCAACCACACTTTCAATCAGATGAGAAGGCACGAAATGCTTCATACTTAGCATCATCTTTGTGATTAAACCATCCAACATGCCTTCAATCATCCATTAGCTATTAATGGTGATTTGCTTTAAAATGTTTAGTTAAAGCCAGACTATAAACCACATGTAGAAAGGAACAAACACAGAAGCAATATCTATTCTACCTGCCAGACAGTCACACCAAAAAAGAATCTGAACCATATGATGGTACTCAGATCAGGGGAAACGTTAGAAAAGCAAATAATTGAATGATAATTTACCCTGAAGATGAAATTTGACCAGAGAATGAAATGCATTCATCGAGTATAACATTATTTTGAAAACAGCATCGTCCACCTTTAGACATCTTAAATGCACCTTGCAAAGCATAGAAGAATACATCTGTAAGTACCTTTTGGAACCACAATTGCAGGGTATCTTTTTCTCTTCCAATGGAAATTTGTAGTTGTATGTAAGCTCTTCACCCGTAGATATATGCCGCTTTGCATAAATAAAGATCTTCTTTTGGCCATCAACGGTTATCACCTTTGTATAGCAATTTGGCTAAAAGAAGGCAATCCAAACATTAAAACCCACAAAAAAATGACCCGGATGGCCCATTAAATGAGGAACAATTAGCTTAAGCTAACCTCACAAGAATGATTAATAAATCTTGCCAATCCTCCCCGCCTGGTAGCATCAACCTGCAATAAATATCATCAATATACGATAGAAGTCACACCTTTATATCTAATGTTCTACAAAATAGAAAAAAAAAATAGGAATGAAATTTTATTTTTGGTTGAATTTTAAACAAGAGACCAAAACACCCAGCACCTCCAAAAGTAGTTTTAACAAAAAATAAGCAATAAACGCATTTCAATAAGTGTTCATTAACATTTTAATTTTACATGCGTACAAATAAATTAGATAAAGTGAGAACTGGAACTTCAGAAAGGTAGTAACAAGCTGCAATGGCTATGATGCACAGACACGGACACGGCGACACGGATACGACACGACACGGACACGGGACACGTCAGTTATCGAAAATATAGGACACAGGTTGAACATGGTATTATAATTTTTATATTTAAAAAATATTGTATAAAAATTAAGTATAATTTTAAAAAAAATTTGAAAATAATAAGTCATTTAACTAGAATTTATGCTTAAAATGATTAGTATTAGGATGTCGAGAGTCATGCGTCAATACCGTTTATCAGTCACCAAGAGAGAAGATGAAAATACCTTCACTGCCAAAAAGAAATGAAAATGAGAATATTCGATGATTGGGTATTAAGTGCGGACGTTGATTTGGTGTTGTGGATAGGAAATAAAAAATTTAGTTTAAATCCCGCCAAATACTAGAAATTATATTTAAAAAAATTCATAAAATATTTAAGATACGCGTGTCGGACAAGCGTGTGCAATTTGTATTTAATACTTTTTAATCGGACACATTTTTGGCGTGTCCGACACGTGTTGGAGGAGTGTCAGATGAGTGTCATGTAGGATACGGTGTCGGACACTGCACGCCTCTTTAAGGAGAAGTGTCAGTGCATCATAGTGTAATGGCATGACAAAAGTCAAGGCTTAGATATAGCTAATCCAACTAAAAAATATGGAAAATCAAATTTAGACATTCAAGTTAATACGCTAAGCAACTTTTGCTTCAATGTTTATCTAGGACAAAGATAGCAATGTTTAAAGCTTAAATACCTGTGATTTTAGTTAATCAACCAATCAAAGTCATAGACATATAAAATAGGTTACAAACTTAAACTCAAGATATATTCAAATAAATTTGGTCAATTAACCTCAAGATATCTCACATATCTCAATCATGTTAATAAGATTCTTCAACCTGCATTTCTCTATGAAGGATGATAATAAAAATGCATTTATAAAAGGTGACTCCTGATCATTAGGATAATTGTCCTTAACATATTCACTCAGTCAGCAATATTCCCTCTTCAAAATCCTTTTAGGTGAGCCACGATGACAGCATTCAGTGAATCTATAACTTTTGAAATTGTTTCTAGCAAAACATTATGGGGTGTGCTTCCCGCACTTTCATGTTTTATATATCACCCCTATCAAGTTCATTTATATATCTCAATAATGTTGATAACATTCTTCAACCTACATTTCTCTATTAAGAACAACAACAGCAACAGCAACATCAAGCCTTTATCCCACTGTGGATCAACTGCATGAATCCCTTTTCTCCATTGTGCCATGTTAAAAAAAATTATCATTTAAATCTAATAAAGAAATGTCATTTCTAATATTTTCTAACCAAGTCTTTTTAGGTCTACCTCTACCTTTCTTAATATAAGTCAAATCTAATACATCTACTTTACTAATCAGGTCATCAGAAGGCCACCATTTTAAGTGACCAAACCATCTAAGACAACTCTCTCTAATCTTATCTTCCACTAGAGTTACTCCAGCCTTTTCACGTATATGCTCATTTTGTATCCCGTCTCTAACAGTAAAGTCATTCATCCACCTGAGCATCCTCATCCCTGCAAGACTTAACTTAATCTTATGCTTCTCTATTAATGGTCAACATTCTGCACCATAAAGCATTGCAGGTTTAACCACCATCTTATAGAATTTTCTCTTAAATTTAAGGGGGACTTTTCTATCAAACAACAAGCCCGATGCATTCCTCATCTCTGCAACACTTAACTTAATATTATACTTCTCTATTAAAGCCCAACATTCTACACCATAAAGCATTGCAGGTCTAACCACCATTTCATAGAATTTTCCCTTAAGTTTGAGGGAAACTTTTCTATTAAACAACAAGCCCGATGCATTCCTCCACTTCAACCATCCAACTTGAATTCTACTAATAATATCCCCATCTATTTCACCATCACTCTAAACAATAGAGCCAGAATATCTAAAATGTCTACTCTTATTAATGACTTGATCACCCAAAGTCACAATCCCCCACAAAAACTATTATTAATAAAATTACACTCCATATATTCAGTTTTAGATCTACTCAAACGAAAGCCTTTAAACTCCAAATTGACCTCCACAGTTTCTCTATTAAGAATGACAAAAATATGCATTTATAAATGGTGGCTCCTGATCATTAGGATCATTGGCCCTAACCCATTTACTCAGTCAGCAATACTAATTCCCTCTTCGAAATCCATTTAGGTGAGCCACGATGACAGCATCTAGTGAATCTATAAGTTCTCAAATTGTTTCTACCAAAACATTATGTGGTGTGCTTCCCGCACTTTCATGTTTTATATATCCCCCCTTACAAGTGCCACCTACATTTTCCTTGATATTTGCCCATGCCAACAACATTTAGTTTTAATAACTTTCTTGTCATTTGGCAGCTCTTCAACTCTTTCTCCAAATAATAGTTTCAGATCTCATCATTTCCATGCTCACAAGATGCTCATCATAATATGCACCTGCTCTTGCTGTGATAGCAAGCGAATATTGAAGTTAATATAAATTCCCTGTTAGCTGCTCACTTTACTATGATTAACATCGGATTTTTCTTCCACTGTCAATAAGTATAAATCATCAACAACAAATAATTAAAGTAAAAATATCGCTATAAATTTGGAAAACAAAAAGTATGAGCATACACCTTTGAAGTTTATCTACTAAAAATGTCAATAAATAAAACAAATGAGCGAATAGATAACCACAGAAATTTTCTAACGATTATATGCAAGGTTTCCCTCACCACAAAACCATCATCTAGTCTGAACAGGTAACTGCTGCCTATACCCATCTTTTCATATTTAAGCTCCCGTATGTCAGATATCTAAAGGAAAAAAATAAAAGCTTTAGTAAGATTTAAATTTAATATAAACCAAATTGCAATAATATAATGATAAAAAATAAAATTTACCTGACGGCGAATTAATTCTCCAACATACTCAATCACAAAATCTTCTGCCTCGATTGGCTCAAGGGCAACAAGGCCCCAATCATGTATCTTGCTTCTTTGAAAGCATAAATGTTTCTTCCTTGCCTTAAGCAAGATAAAAAGAAGTGTGTAACTCAAAGTATTTATCAAATAAAGAAGGTTACTGTCTCCATAGAATGAAAAATAACCAGCTACCTTCAATTGAGTGACTTTTAGAAGCTCAGCACCTTCAGCAGCAGCCAAGAGGTTCCGCAACTTAACCCTATTTGTTCTTGCTGAAGGACCTTTATTATTAGAATTTTGATTACCATTAGCATCAGAGCAAGAACTATGAGGAACAACATCACGGTTTCCTCTCAAGCGGGCCCTTTCTGATGGAAGAGCATTCCGTGACCATTGACGCCAATCCCATCCACTAATAGAAGATCGAGCACAACCGTTTGTCTTGGGGCACGGAACAAGTAGCTTTGAAGGTTTAACAATCCGCCTGGATGCCACCTTCTGGGATGCTTTTTTAACCTTAATCTTCCTTGAAAGTTTTGCTACCTTAGGAGGGGGAGCTAACTGATCATCTGCTTTCCTTTTCAAACTCGGATAACTTTTTGCTGTTAAAATGCAAAGACATGCAAAATGAACAAGCCTGAGATAAAAAGCAGATTAATAAAAAAATGCACAAATTTATTATGAAAAACTATCTATACTAACACTTGGAAATGCCAGAAGACAGGCCTTCAGGCTCCGGACAATCAATAAGCATATGACTAGCATTCCCAATCTTCTTGACTTTATCTGAATCATGTTGAGAAACAGAAAGTTGTTCCACATCGTGTTTTATATCGTCAATATAAACTCCCTCATCTGCATCACGTGAATACTTATTATAATACCCACCCTCCATTATGGACATTATTTTTGTCTCACTTAAAAGTTTAGGAGATATACCAATGTGTATTTCGTGGGCAATCTTCCTCGATTTACGTGACTTTTTCTTTGTTGAACTGCAACCATCAGGCAATTTATTTTGGTTCCTGGTTGGTAATGACGAAGAATAAACCAGGTCTACATCTAGCTCCCTCAACTCAGAATCCATATCATTAATTTGTGGCCAAGGTGATTCAGATCCTACGTGTTGCATCTGATCTATGGAGATGTTGCCCACTTTTTTAATCAATTCAAAGCTCTCAAGCAATGGTCCAGACTTTGGTTTGCTGTGTTTTTTCTTTCTAAAGTAGGTCAAGCTCCCGTTAAAGGAAACCCCAAATGGCCTTGAACTTTTCATCTGCTGCAAACTTTCTTTCAGCTTGTCCACCACCTCTGCTGAATTGGAGACATTCTGCAGTGCATCATTATAGTTATCAGCATTGAATGAACTGATATTCAAGTAGCAAGATTAAATCTATAGTTTTTCATTCGCTAGGAAATAGAGTAAATCTACAGCATGTGTCAAGAAAATATAGGAGGGGGTCAAATAAAGAAAAAGAAGCATACCTCCAGCAAATTATTAAAGTTTTCTCCTTCAGGGTTAGCAGCCACAGGATCCACTTCATGTCTTCTAAAATAATCGCATGAATTAAAACTTTCATGAAGAAAACTAAGAAGGTGAGAAGATCCCCACTCTTTAAGAAATTCATCATGAAGCTTCTGCCTGCAAATGGCCAATGCAACATATTTGCCAATTACAGGGACATCCTCATTAAGACCTGCAGGTCGGATTTTATTCTTCTTAGACAAAGTCAATAATGCAGCATTAGCACCAGCTTCCACTCCAGGAGGAAATAACTCATCAACAATCTCATCCTTCAATAAATTCACCATGGGAGGACCCATTCTTTCAAAAGCTTTTGCGATTTGTGTAGACAAAGAACTCAGTGGTCCTGCTCAAGATTGAGAGAGAAATATCACAAAGATTATCATTTATAATAATCGCATTCTATGAACCAATGGAAGGATTAAGAAAGTTTGCAACATAATAATACCAGGAGATTCTGCCAAATCAGCTGCAACAGCAACCGAATCACAAACATCAAATAGGCAATGAGATGCGCTCCGATCATCTGTTACCTGCAATCATTCAAAACATGCTTCCATCACAAAACTCAAACAACAACATATAAGCACTTACCAGTTTATAATGTCACAAAATTCCATCCTTCCTACAATAGTAATAAGCAATAAGATAATAAGTTAAAATATAGATTAAAATATCATTCCCAATCTACTGAGTTCCCACTACTTTACAGTCTAGTTCCACTCCTCCATATATTAGATAACAAGCATTGAAATCTATTACTACATATTTAACTGTGATCTAATGAAAATTCTCACTGATGTGTGGTATACCTCTATTTTATCCACATGTTCAGCCTCAGCCTCTACACCCTCTACCTCTTCACCAGTTGGGGATTGATACACAGAGCTAACCATGAAATCCTCAACAATTCTTGCCTAATCATTGCAAAGATATGATAGTCAATTATAACAAATAAAAGACAAGGAGAAAAAAAAAAGAAACTAGGCATAGAATAATCATACATATAATAAAAATTACCAAATTATGCATGTAAAACATAAGGCTTTACCTTATTAATATTATCTTCTGCTTCCAGACAAAGCATGTTTGTCAATTCCTCCTTTAACACATCTTCATAATACTCAAACAAGGACTTCTTTGCAGATAAATAGAGGTTACACTCTAGGTCTCCTTGCACTTCTTTCAAACTGATAGCAAGCATATCAGTAAGTTGAAGATCAATTTGTTTTGTACCGACAGCTTCGGAAAGTGATCTATCAGACGGAAAGCATGTCAAAATATCTACATCTCTAACTTCAGGCCCAAAACCTGGGGGGAAATCCATTTCATGGTTGTTGGTCGCATGCGGCGCAGAATGAACCTGAATGAAATCTAACGTTAAATTATACGTCCACCATACAGCTAGGTAAAGTACAAACTGAAATTATCAAAACAGACATACAATTTCAGCAGCTTCTGTAGTACTTTTGTGAACAAGATCTATGTTTCTGCCATCACCCTCAATAGAAATAGATCTGACAGACAAAACATTTCGATGAGACGAGCTTTTTCTTTTATGCCACTTTGCACAGTAGTCAGAAACAGTTTCAGACAAGACGGTGCTCCACAGAACTTTCATGCTATCATAGTAAAATGCTTTGTAAACCTCTAATAGCAACTCAGAAAAATTATTAATGGTGCATAAAGAAAAATCATCAGTAGAACAATCTACTGGAGTATTAGAAGGCATTTTTGGTTCATTCTTCACTTGCAAGGAAACACTAGGTCTGCCGCTAACAGCATAAGGCTTCTTTTCAGTCATATTTTTCAGCTGTACAAAAGCCAGAAAATTAAAAACTTTAGAAAGGCAGACAAATTCAACTAAAACTTTCCATACACTCTGAGAAAATCAGTAAATGCATTACCTCTTTCACAGAAAAACTAGAATGTCTCACATCCTTGCCTGCTGATTCTATTCTGTGATGTCTCCGAGACTTCCTGGATGCATAGAACTCTGGAATGATGGTGCTGATTATCTCATCTAGGAAAACTCGCCGAGCAGCTTTCAAAATCAAAGAATGCAGCTGAACTGATAGATCTTCTGATATATCAGTTATAAATCTACTGAATGAAACAAAACCACCACCATTAGAATCTGCCTCAGAAATATTTTGAATTCTGCACCACTCCTCAACTAGAGTAAGAAGTGTAAATGGGCCACACTTGCTATCTATGTGGTGTATCTGCAAAAAATAAATTAATAAATATTCTTAACCAGGAATATTTGCAGGAATATAACCAAGCATGCTGGAACATCTCACCATCGATGAATCATGAAGATAGCTACTACTATGCCAATAATAAAGCTCTGCAAAAGAATGAGGCCCATGTTTTCTACCATCCTCATCCTCAAACATCCAATTTGACTCCTCACTTGAGATCAACTAATTATAGATCATGAGTCACAGAAAGAACAGTGAGTGCCAAAATATTTTCAATTAAAGCAGGAAAGTATTACAAAATATTTTTTTTAATGACGAAAGCAGAAAATAAAATAAAAGATGAATAGCAGCGATCACATCCATACCGCTGAAAGCCTTGAAGTTGCATTTTTCGCAATTCCAGTATTTGGATTTTGTGATCCACAAGAATGAGAACCAAATGTGGCAGTTGGTTGGGCAACAGAATGCTGCGCATGGTCATCATGTTTTGGATACAAAGAAGGCAAAGTAGAGGATGTACCTTGTCCATGAGTTGCAGAGCAATAGACTGTAGAACCCATTGAAGCACTTGGAGTCATGGTTTGAGAATTGACTGACCAGCATGAATTTGATAAGTGTTTTATATACTTCAAGTACACAGGATTGGTCAGGGTCCCATTTATGACTGGATAAACCAGAAGCTGCTCAGGCAGGAACCCGGTAGACAACCCCTCATCCAGTTGTTGTTGAGTATAAGGGCCACAGAGTTGCCCAGTTTCATTCACATACATCCAGCCATTCACATATGTCTGTTGAGCATATCCACCGTGATTGTTATCATGAACTGCCATTGTGCCCGCGCCATAAGACCAGGAAATGTCACTACTATTATTAGCAGATAAGGAACCTCCCTCCATTGTGACAGATGAGCCAAACTTCTCAGGTAAATAGCTGCTACTTGAGGAACCACCATGCCCATCTGAGAAGCTAAGCATAGAAATAATGCAGCAAATAATAAAACTAAACGTTTTGGTATGAAAATTGATCATAATAATATCAACTTGCTAGGGCAGAATGCAGTGGACATACCAATGAGAAGAGGTATATTCAAAGTTCTCATTAAGATCAACATTACCAATGACTTCTATACACAAACTCGATTCAGATTGAGTTAATTCAGGAGTTGATGAGTTGAGCCATTTCCTCGTCCCAAATTTATGGCAATAATCATGTGAATTGGCTAAAGTATAAAACTCCTTTTTGGTGCAACAACCAGGTAAAAATTCAATTTCTTCATAAAGTTCATTGCACGCTACCTGAATACCAAAATTATAACAAACATAAGAGCAGGATACAGTACAAACAGAAAATATCATTACTAGGCATCAGAGAGAATTTGCCAACGAACATGAAATGTCACGTGATTTTCAATAAACAGAAAAAGCAAATTATATGAATATTTTCTTAGAAGGTTAGAGCTCTGCAAATCTACAGCCAAGAGAGATAACTGACAGGTGATGGGGGTAGAGAAGGAAATAACCGACCATATGTAACCACATCCCCAAAAATTCCTCCTATCTAAGGCATAAGCCTCTATTAGTGTAAAATGCTATAGTAAAAGTTTAATTCATAATAGAAGCTATCGCTTTTGGATGAAATAACAGCCATCTTGTCCAGCTTCAGAATTCTTCATATAGAAATTAGTACCATATATTTGAATAAATTGAAACATGTCATTCGGCATCTAGGAGGAATGCAAATCCCATTTAATCAATTATAAAAGATAATTCAAAAACAACCACAAATGATCAATGACAGGTTATAAAACAAACAAATATAACAATTGATTTTCTACAAACATTATAGATAAAGAGCCATATGTTCTCTATTAAATAGTTCACAAACTCGGTGAAAGTAAAAATAATTTGGCTAGCATTATGGCTGTAAGAAGCAATTCCACAACAACAACAACAACAAGCCTTTATCCCACTACGTGGGGTCGGCTACATGAATCATTTTTCTTCATTGTGTCCGATTAAGAGTCAAATTCTCATTTAGATCTAATAAAGAAAGGTCATTTCTAATATTTTTTAACCAAGTCTATTTAGATCTGACTCTATCATTCTTAACATAGGTTAAATCAAATAAATCTACTTTCCTAACTAGGTTATCGGAAGGCCGCCGTTTCATGTGGCCAAACCATCTAAGGTAACTCTCTCTAAGCTTATATGCCACTAAAGCTACTCCAACCTTTTCATGTATATGCTCACCTATCTCTAAGAATTAAGCCACTCATCCAAATGAGCATCTTCATCTCTGCAACACTTAACTTAATAGTATGCTTCTCTTTTAATGACCAACATTCTGCACCATAACGCATTGCAGGTCTAACCACCATCTTATAGAATTTTTCCTTAAGTTTGAGTGGTACTTTTCTATCACACAACAAGCCTGATGCATTCCTCCACTTCATCCATCTAACTTGAATTCTACTAAAAATATCTCCATCTATTTAACCATCACTCTGAACAATAGACCCAAGATATCTAAAATGTGTACTCTTATTAATGACTTGATTGCTCAAAGTCACAAACCATTCACTATATCTATTACTACTACAATTACACTCCATGTATTCGATTTTAGATCTACTCAAATGAAAACCATTAGACTCTAAGGTTGACATCCATAATTTATGTTTACCTTCAACTCCCTCTTTAGTCTTATCAACAAGAAGAATATCATCTGCAAAAAGCAAACACCAAGAACATCCTCTTACAAATCTCTAGTAAGAACGTACATGGATAAAGAAAAAAAGATACGGTCTTAAGGTTGATCCTAGATGTAATCCAACTAAAATTGGAAAATACTTGGTCAAACCACCTTGTGTTTGAACACAAGTAACAGCTCTAGCATATATATCCCTAATGACTTAAATATAAGCATTATTAATCTCTTACTTTTCTAGAACTCTCCAAAGCACTTCTCTTGGAACTTTATCATATGATTTCTATAAATAAATAAATATCATATGAAGATCTTCCTTTTTCTCTCTATACTTCTCCATCAAACTTCTCAATAAATGTATGGCTTCCATAGTAGACCTACCCGGCATGAATCCAATTTGATTTTGAGAAACATTAGTATCACATCATAATGTAATAACTCTCTCCCATAGTTTTAAAGTATGACACATCAGCTTAATTCCTCTATAAGTTGCACAATCTGTGCATCACCTTTATTTTAAAAGAAAGGAATCAACACACTCATGCTCCACACATCTGGCATCTTATTAGCCTTCAAAATAATATTAAAAAATTTAGTAAGCTAAGAAATTCCTTCATCTCTTAAACCTTTCCACATCTCTATTGAAAAATTATTAAATCCAAAAGTTTTCCCACACTTCATTTTCTTTAAAGTCTCTCTAACTTTAATTTTAGTAATACGCCCATAAAAACAAAATCTTTATTTTCATTTTAAGTGTTAAGGCCACTAAAGTCAATCACAGTTTCACAATCTTCATTGAAAAGTTTAGCAAAATATCTCATTCACCTTTGTTGAATATCTTCTTTTAAAAAAAGTACTTTTTTATTTTAATCATTAATGCACTTCATTTGAACTAAATCCTTACTACTCATATCTCATTGTTTGGCTAACTTATACATATATCTTTTGCCCTCTTTAGTATATAATCTATTATATAAATCATTAAAAACTAAAGTCGTTGCATTGCAGAATGTTTTATTAGATTATGATACATTTTTTTATAATGCAGCATATCTTTAAAACACTCTGCTTTTTGTTACTTAAAGAATACCATATGGGTCAAACGCACCGCCCATTGAGTAACGACACGGCTTAAGATTAGCATTGAGGCCCGTAAAGGTAGACCGGTGAAATAAACTTCCACGGCCTCGTGTGAAACAAAGGTAGTAATCAATTACTTGTAAAATATGTTTAATTAAATTCTTAATTTATTAATACTTTAAAGCTTCATAATCACTAGAATACACAACCTAGAACATTATTTAAGTATAATAACTAGTCATACTTCTATATAACTTTTTGTTCTTTATACAATCATTTCTATATTAGGATTCTATTCCTAACAAAAAATTTGCTCTTATACCAGGCCATGGAGATTTACTAGCATGACAAATCAAATTCGAGTTTCTTCTAAATTAAAAATAGCATCACATTTAGATGACTGTGTCTATCTTGGACACGAACTTACATCTGATGATTCCTATAGGTTAGGCGGTGTTTACTTTTACTTATTTGGTCACGACTTATTTGTCATTGGGTTAGCCGGATTTTTCGTAAAGTTTACTTCCAAACTTAAGCCATTGTGATTTTGCTGGACTCTGAAATATAGTTTGTTTTGGACTAATCTTGTCTGAGAGCTATATTATGTTTTTGATTGTATTTAAATATTATGCTAAATCTGTGGACTTGTTGATTCATATATCAGTGTTTTTGAGGTACCGACTAGCCTATACCTTCAACAAAGGCTTAAGGAGTACGATCTGAGAATTGCACAAACTCCAAGAGCACGTTTTTTCTAATCTAAGGTGCCAATCATCCGAGTGGTTAGCTCACTCGAGAGTGCTACTTTCATTATTATCATGCTGGGTACAGGTATTAACCTATGGATAATTAAATAGCGATAGAACTCAAAAATTTTACTTCACATTTTAAACAATTTTTTAGCATTAAAGAACAGGGTGTCTCATTATGTAACATTTCTCGCTAAACGCCAACCATAAATTTAGGTATTATAAAAGTCGATACCCATGCTGTTTTCTGTCACCGAAGTGTGGGTCTATTAACTTTCTTTTTTTCTATCGCATATCCAATAATCACAACTTGGCTCTATGGAGTGAGGAGTAACTGCTTTTTATATGTCATTATTTAGAAAATCTGCGGTTAGTTTAGATAACCATTGCGACAAATCAGTGAGAGTTCACTAGGAGGTTTTTGATCTTATCTTTTCTGAAATTCAGATGTATGTTATTATTTTGTGGTAAGTGTAACGTTCTTGTTGAAAGTTGAATTTTTGAGTTGTGGATAGGCCTACGCATCCAAATTGCTGGGGAAGCACTAACAGAGAGGAAAGGATAAAACCCTTCTTTCACGGATAGGCCTCTGTTTAGGTAACACCTCCTCCTCATTCTACTTTGCAAAGAATGTCACACATCAACATGTTCTGGATATCATAACCTCCTCCTTACCCAAAGAGGAACAGACGTTGGTGGCATTTCCCCCTTAACATGAGAAGATGCCCTCTTGTCACATGATCTAAAAAATTGCTGGTTAAACTTAATATTATCGGCCACCTACGAAGATTCCAAGAAGGATTCTTGAAGAAAGTGAAGTTCAAGAGAGCAGAACGAGATTGACATATTTGTCATTAGTGATCATTATAATGAACGAGTATGGGCGAGAGTATATCCCAACTCAAAATAACTTGCAATCATTTATTAGTCTTGAATGGCCCGGGTTTCCTGACTCATCCAGTTGTGCCTGGTTCTCAACACTTTACTTTCTTGCAAATCTACTGATATTGCTAACTATTAATAACAATTGGTCCAAATTCTGCGCTATGGCACATTTATTTCATTAATCTAACGTTGGCATTTGATAACTTTTTGATTGCTTTGTATTAGCAAATCAAACTTGGATGATGTCGACTTCCTTTAGGATTCACCAATGCTTTTCTACAAACCCATAGTTATATCTTTGTAAATTTTATCGGTCTAGATTTAGTATTAAAGGTATCTCGACCCATCTACGTCTACACATCAACTTTGAACAAATTATGATCCCTAATGTAAGTATTATTTATTACCCACGAGTACGAGCTTAACTGTGTCGTTGGAGTATCCGTGAACGGCTCGTAAATGCGTCGAATAGAAAAGTTTTTAACTACCCTCATAAACTATCTAAAAATCTAAAATTTTAGTGAAGAAATCTAAACAACACAAGAAAGGGATATAACGCTGAATCTATGGGAAATACAGACTGGGATTAGATTCTATGAACTCCCAGAGGATTCGCAATGCATACTTTCCTGGGCACCTTACTTTTACTTTCAATTGATTTACTTGTAGATCACCTTGTCCCACTGCCTGCGGGTGGTATTTGAGGTATCCAGATCAGTCCTGACTCTAATGACGGGACGAGAAGTGCAAGACCTGGGGAAGTCCATGTCTATCATAACAAAAAAAATTTATTACTATAAGCTCATCAGTTTTTAAAAAAATTTCAAGGCATCTTGATTTTTTAGGAAGATGGTATTTTAACTTATCGAAC